GAAGCACATAGCCTTCTTAGGTGTCAATATAGCCCTGTAGGAAACTCATAGCCCTTTTAGGCATCAATATAACCCCGTAGGGAACTCATAGCCCTTTTTAGGCATCCATATAGATCTGTAGGCAGAACATAGCCCTTCTAGGTATAGATCACATTCCTGCAGCTAACCACAATAGCCCCAAGGGCAACAATAACAATCCAATCGCTCAAAGCGAGCAATTTAGTTATAAGCAACCTATACAAATAACCTCTAAGTCGTGTACAACATAAGGACGCTACTAACTGAATAAAAATCTCGACAAGGGAGGATTATATCAACTCGAGCAACCAACAATCAACAATCACGACTACAAGTATATCAAGGATAACAACCCAAATACATTGCTTCTAAGCTTTAAGGAAACATGTCGTAAGTAGGGAATAGCCTTAACATACCTTTTTCGCTGAATTCACGTGTCCTAATAACTTTAATCACAACCCCGTTGATACTACAACAAGGCAGGATCATAATCAACACAAAAGAATAGAAGATACAATGAAAATCCGATAAAAGATATGTATTTCCATCGCAAATTGCTATTTGCGACTTATCAAATCTAGAGTCGATGAAAGAAGGGTCTTACCTTGATTATAAGTTTGTAATACACCTCAAAACTTTAAAATATGGCCAAACCCCTGTTGTACTCACACCAAAGTATGATATGCTAGGAAATCGATAAAACAAATTATACCATGTTGACGAGTTCAACACGTAGAACAACTTTTGTCAAGGACTTAAGTCACAAAAATTAGTAACTTGGCTTGTCCTAGAAGTGGGTTTTGTAGGTTTTGTGAGTTTTCTGGTTCTTAACTAAGGAAAATGAAGGAAAAGTGAAGAAAAGTCGAAGAAAAGATCGAAGAAGAAGTATATGTAACAATCCACCGACTTAGGGCCCCACCTCACGTGCCTGCTTGCGCAGTCCCACGAAAATGCGAATATCTCTCTATTCTGAAGTCGTATGAACAAACGGTTTGATGCGTTGGAAACTAGACTCGTAGACCTTCGATTTCATAGGTCGCGGGGACCATAACTCTCAATAGATTAGGAGAAAATGTCCGAGACATTTGACCCAAATTTCAGACAAATCTTTAAAAATGGAATTTACAGTAACTTTCGCCAACTTTTATTTTGCCACTTATCTAACTTCAAAACTTGAGATACAACACTTGAACACTTAAAATATCACATAAAACATCATTCTTAATTTATTACCTACCCTTCTGGTCTTTCCACGAAGATACGAGTCAATTTATACATTTCGAAAAGTCGGGGTGTTACAACCTGCAAGTGAACAAATAATTTTCCATGCTACTAGAGTTGTTAAAAGATGTGCTTCCAGAAAGTGAAACATTGCCCAAGTCCTTTTATGATTCAAAGAAGATTATTAAAGATTTAGGACTTGAATATAAAAAGATAGATGCATGTCCAAATGATTGTATGATTTATTGGAATGAGACGAAAGATAGAACGTCTTGTAAGTTTTGCAAAGCTCCAAGATACAAACAGTTCAAAGGTGTATCAGTTAATTCCAGTTCAGAAACATCAAAAATTCCATCAAAGGTGTTTAGATATTTTCCATTAATACCACGACTTCAAAGACTATTTATGTCGGCTAAAACATCTACTCAAATGAGATGGCATGTTGAAGGTGGCACTAGAGATGGGGTAATGCGACATCCTACAGACAGTATTGCTTGGAGGAAATTAGACGAAGCACATACAGATTTTGCTCGAGATCCTCGAAATGTTAGACTTGGATTGGCTTCAGATGGCTTTAGTCCATTTAAGTCTATGTCTATCTCACATAGCACATGGCCTGTTATCTTGATTCCATATAATTTGCCACCATGGTTGTGCATGAAACAACCATATATGATATTATCAACTATTATTGATGGTCCTCGTGCACCAGGTAATGATATTGATGTCTATCTACAACCCTTAGTTGATGAGTTAAATAATTGTGGGTTGGTGTTGCCACTTATGACATATCAAACAATCATATGTTTCAAATGTGTGCAGCATTGCTTTGGACAATTAGTGATTTTCCAGGGTTAGGTAACTTATCAGGATATGGTGTGAAAACTAGATATGATTGTCCATGTTGTCTTATACAATATATTTTGGACATTATTGAATGTTGATGGAAAAGGAAAAGATAATTTAAACTCCCGTTTAGATTTACAAGAGATGGGGATCCGAAAAGCTTTGCATCCTAAGAAAAAGGCTAATGGAAAATATTATCTTCCTCCTGCATGTTTCACATTGAGTAACACACAAAAAGACATCCTCTTACAAGTGTTAAAAGATGTGAAAGTGCCAGACGGATATGCTTCAAATATCTCAAGTTGTGTTGATCTGAAGCAATGCACAATGCATGGGTTGAAGAGTCATGGCTGCCATATTTTAATGCAACAACTCCTTCCTATTGCCTTGCAGAATCTCCTGCCAGTGAATGTACTTAAGCCATTGATTGAATTAAGTAATTTCTTTAGGGGCATTTGTTCAAAAGATCTGAAGATAGGTGACTTGAAAAAACTCCAAGATCGAGTTGCAATAACTCTATGTCATTTGGAGAGAATATTTCCTCCATCTTTCTTTGATATCATGGAACATCTACTTATCCATTTAGCTGAAGAAGCAATGTTGGGAGGACCTTCACAATATCGCTCAATGTGGTTTATCGAACGGTTTTCATTTTGTTATTTTTATATCATACTTACAAGAAATTGTAATTTGTAATTCTAATAATTGTCTATTTTAGGTTCTTGCTTTGTCTTAAAAACTACGTAAGGAATAGACATTATCCAAAAGGTGCGATTGCAGAGGGACGTTGGATAGACAAGTTAATGACGTTTTACTCATGGTATTTAGATGACGTCGAGACTAAGTCTAATCCACCTTTAAGAAATGATGTTTTATCTAATGAAACGACAAACCAAGAGGGTCGTCGATCAAGTACAGAGAAAGGATTTAAGCTTGATGACATTACACGTGCTCAAGCCCACAAATATGTTTTGTTTAATTCTACCTCCACAACTTCATATCGTGAGTAAGTATTAAATCATAATTTATACTTAGTAATTAATTATTAAATAATTTTCTTTCAACTTTTTACTAAATAGTTATGTGTTTTACTTCCGTTGTGAACACATAAAAGAAATCAAGAAGGAAAATCCTCGTCTATCAAGACATAATGTGGATCGAATTCATAATGAAAGATTTCAACTATGGTTTAGAAATCATGTAAGTATCAACTAGCTAAAATATTTGCTCATATATTACTATATAGGTAATTATAACTTTTAGATCACATCTTTATTTTTGAATGCTAGGTCGAGAAGATGCATATGGCTAGTGAAAAAATATCCAAGGATATTCAAACTTTAGCTATTGGCCCATTAATACAAGCAAAAAGAATGACTGGCTATATATGTGATGGAGTTAGATACTTAACAGAGTCTCGTGATGTTAAGAGAAAAACTCAAAATAGTGGTATTATGTTAAAGGCTATCACTCAAAGTTATGCAAGCACAAAAGATAAAAATCCCATATTGGCAGAGGTTTCTTTTTATGGAATCCTCACAGACATAATTGAGTTATATTATTCCAAGAATCTCAAGTTTGTATTGTTTAAATGTAAATGGGTGAACAATAGCAAGGGGCTTATTGAGAAAGATGATTATGGATTTACTCTTGTGAATTTTAATCATCTACTCTATACAAGACATCAGTTATC